AGATTTCTAGAGATTTCAGGGGTTAAAATCTGCTTTTTCCCCCTTGGATATACCCCTTGACATTGGCAAAAATTTTACGAAGAATCAAATTGTAACATGATAGAACATTAATTCATGTTCATCGTTGGTTGATGTTATCAAGAACCTTCTCGACAACAAAACAAAATCAACTCTTTTTCTAATTAAAGTTTTGAAAAGAAAAAATTTTTCTGGTTATGCAGCTTACGAAAATGGAAATGATATCATCTGGGCAATTGATACACTATTACGTGTGAAATCTAACATATTGGATAATCATCAAGGGTGTGGGTGTGGGTGTGGGTGTGGGTGTGGGTGTGGGAGTGAATGCGGGGTGCGTGGGTGGCGTCGGTGCGAATATGCGTATGGGTGTCAGGAAAATGTGCACCCGCACCCTCTTCGCGTCATCTACCGAGGGAATAATGAAAATCGAGCGGAAAAATACCCTTTTACAGCGTTGACTATTGCTGGAAAGGTTATATTTTCTCATACATGAAGACTAGTTGAATACCAGCGTGGTAGTTTTATCTACGACGAAAAGAACCAGCAACACACTCACATTATAACTGCCGTTAGTATTTGTTTTGGTAACATCTTATCAGCAATAGATAATACATCAAACTGTCTTCTCACTTTATCTAAAAATACACTTAATAGAAAAAAAAGAGTTTCGTAACGATTTTCATATTTACAGACAAAGCACATTTGTGCGAGCGTCCATCTTGAGGGTGAATTTCTTACGCACATTTATACCCATAGATTCTGTGGATAATTCAGAGATAGAAAACGGAAGTCTGGCAGCGAGGAAGGACCCTAGTCACGACTGCATCAATCATGAACCCTTTTACGCAAAGGAGTAAACAAAAGAACCTTTTTGCTGAACATTTACAGTAAGATTTAGACAAATTTTGACTCAAAATCGTTTTCAACGTCATTTTCCCGTTTTGCAAAGTGACAAGGTTGGAACATATTCCGTGTTTTTTGCAAATCTTTCTAGCTGCTGGAAAACCTAGACAACTGTAGAAACCTTTTTTTTTACAGTGTGCAGACAAACGATTTCGAACATTCCTCTATGGGAACCCTTCAAAGTCTCTCCAGCGACCTCAACTCGCAAACACCATCTTCCACTACTCAATCACCAACAAACAATGCAGCAGGAATTCAACAAATATCTTTCGCATCAAACCAATAAATAGTTCTATTCTATTTTCAGGTGGAACTCGAAAACCCTGCCGATATGGTTCCAATTGTCGCTCGTTCGCATTTTTCCTAAAAAATAATACAAACCTAGGCTGTTTCCTTCTACAGGTCGACCTCACAACATCGGACACAATTTATACATCCTGGTGATAAGGATTTTATAGAGAAAGATGATAAGCGTGATGACTCTAGAAAAACCATACAAAAACTAGCCTGTAAATATGGCGCGAATTGCACCAAGTTCGTCACTTCCCTTCAATAACACGCACGACAAGCTATTGTTGACTTTTTTTTGCAGTAGAGGCCCACAACATCGAGCAATATTTACACACTCTGATGATGAAGATCACAAAAATGAATGTGATAACCATGGTAGATTTACCAGCAACATTGAAAAGCCACCCTGTAAATATAATGACAACTGCTACAAGTTCGTGTCTTTCACTAACATGAAATATTCTAAGCTACTCATTATTCTCTGCAGTAAAACTCCAGAACATCGAGCACGATTTACACATTCTGATGATAAGCGTGATGAATCTACAAAAAGCAAGCAAAAAGTAGCCTGTAAATATGGCGCGAATTGCACCAAGTTCGTCACTTCTTTCCAACAACACGCACGACAAGCTATCGTTGATTTTTTTTCAGTACAGGCTCACAACATCGAGCAATATTTGCACACTCTGATGATGAGGATCACAAGGAAGAAGACGCTAACCCTAGGGAGTTTACCAGCAATACAGAAAAACGACTCTGTAAATATGGTGACAAGTGCTACGAGTTTGTGACTTTCGCTTACACGAAATATTCTAAGTTACGCATTAGTTGTTTTCAGTAAAACTCCAAATCATCGAGCACGATTTACACACTCTAATGATAAGGATTCCATAGAGAAAGATGATAAGCGTGATGGTTCTACAGAAAGCAAACAAAAAGCAGCCTGTAGATTTGGCGCAGATTGCTTCAAGTTCGTGAGTTTCACTAATACGAAATATGTTAAGCTATCTATTGTTACTTGCAGTAAAAGTCCAGAACATCGAGCACGATTTATGCATCCAGATGAATGTGATTATACGCGAAGCAAAGAAACTGGAGTTTGTAAATATGGGACCAGTTGCTACAAGTTCGTAACTTCGACTTATAACAGGTAACGTAAGCTGACGATTATTCTTTGTAGCAAAGATCCAGATCATCGAGCACAACTTGCGCATCCGGAGGATCATGGCTATGTCCGGCGGACAGGTAACTCTATGGTAGTCGGAACGGAGTTTTGTTCTTTTATCGACTTTGAAAAGGTCTCGTAGCTTGATAGTGGAAAAATTTTATCTGTTCACTATGTGTAAGAGAATTGCAGTGCTTCTGAGTAATTTTGCTCGAATGAACTTACTTTCAACAGATCGAATAGTGCAAAAGTATAGTAAAATTTTTCTTACCGAACACCTCCTAATGTGATCAAAGTATTAGATTGAATACCACCCGGTTTCTTTGAACGAATGTTGTTAATTTTGAGTCCCTCTAATATCAGCGGCTGACTATGCTGAAGTCGATTTTACTTTCACTTAATGTTTATCTATGTTTTGTAGTCACAATAAAATATGGGCTTGTATTTCTCTTGTGGGTTGACGTTTTTGAACTTATTCTTCTCTAATGATGCTGGAACTCCCTATAAGATGAGTATTAGGAATGTACCGATTCCAGACCGTATTGAGGAGGACCGGCGTCAGGGTTTTTACTGGAAACAGAGGTTAGCAAAGGCAGCAGAAATTGAACTACTTCCAAAATTCTGCTTGAAAACCATGTTCGGCGACTTACCGAATCATGTAGCCGTTAAGTGGCTCTATGAACAAAATTTAAGCATTTATCATTCGCTGCTAATTTAGGGGGCTATAAGAGGGTGTACCTTTTATTTCCAACAAATCTAACCGAACTTCCAGGTCGGGAGCTAATAATGAATGTCTCAAAATGATTCAAGGTTAACACCAATGGATAGAAAAACAGCATTGGTTTTGAAAAAAAGTGTTGTGAAAATAGTGAACAGGTTAAAATCCCACATCGTGTGAAAGTATAGAGTAATGATTTCAACACAAACTCTGGTGATGCAACCAAGTTGAATGCAATTCTTCAAAGCATCAACAGAATCACACAGTAGCTAGTACCATTCGTGTAATTGTAAAGAAATTATATCGAATGGTTCTTGATCAAATCTGATTTAAAAGAGGTGGAATATACCTACTGTGAAAATATGATCCAGTGATTGTATACTGAAGGAATCCTTATTTGAGTCGAAGATGCCGGTATTATTCAGCACCTATCAACACTATGCAGAGTTGCCGCACAAGTCTCAGGATGAATATTAGATTGAAATACTGGAAACTAGATCAATACTCGAATCTCAGTTTCTATGACTTAATAAGACTGTTTCTAATCAACAGTCTATGCTAAAAATAAGCCTTTCGATGGGATGATCGAAAGGCATCATGAATATTTTTTCTGATTACTACAGGTTTGCAGCCGTCAGTGTCGAGCATTAGATGTGACTATAAGGACAAAATGGTAAATTTCGACGTACAACCATTGAGCGATTCGAGTTCGTCAAGAATGTTGTCTTCACGTCTTGCTCCCACCTCTACCAATGTAGACGAAATTGAATGGACGACAAGCGAATTAGATGCTGCTCAATTCACGTGTTTACAGCAGGACGCGATGTTCTCGCTCAGTAACGCAGACTTACATCGTGTAGTCAAAGCAATACTGGAAGCGGACGACCTGCAAAACAGATCAGACTTAGACTGCGTTCGCCAACTGTTAATAAAGGCCAGTCAGACTAGTGACGCTACGTATTTTATTAGAGCCTACACTGTCGACTGCAGCTTCTACAGAATCCTTAATCAACGATTAGCAGAACGGCGTTTGAAAACTACCAACGACACGGATTTCATTAAGCAGGGACAGATGGTAATGGCAACAGCATTCAAGCAACTGACTCGAGTTATATCTTATTTGCAATTAGCACAAGATAAAACACCCATCAAACCTCCGAATTATGAAAATACCCACTGGTTTCTTCTATATCTTGCGCCAATATACGAATTAATTAACACTGATTCGAAGCTTCTTTATACCGGCAAGACTTATCGCGGTCTGTGGATTGATGAGAAAGAGTTTAAAAGATACACAGACAACACAATGTGTATCTGCAATAAAGCATTTACTTCAACATCACGAAGTCGCGATTGTGCAGAGTATTTTATTAAACATTCTCCTCCATCTCCAAACAAATTGAGAGCCTTGCTCACGTATGAAGTGGGCTATCTAGGCTCAGTATATGCGCTTGATGTACAGAACTATTCCGAATATCCAGAGGAACAAGAAGTACTTATTATGCCAGGAGCCCTGTTCAAAGTTGGACAAGTAAAACGTACGTCGCCTACATCAGTCGAAATTGAACTGAATCCGCTCATACCCGACGCCGAGGATTTAATGTCCTTATTCGCTTAGCAACACACATATTCAATTGACTATATAAACTATATAAATCGGTCATACACTTAGTTATTGTAATCAGTTCACGTAACTATATGCTAATTGCTTTCGAATAACTACCACTAATTCACATAACCGATAGAGTAACATTTTGTATTCCTTAGCAACTCCACGCAAATAAATTTCTGCATCTTTTCCTAATATAGATGTGGATGCACGTGTTGTGAGGATAAGTCTACTATCAGTCAGTCGCAAGTAGAGATGCCAGTTTCGAGTTCCGTTCCTAGGAAGGGGAACCCAAATGTGGTTCCGAGTTCTTGGGAACGAGAATCCAAATGTGGTTCTGAGTTCTTGGGAACGAGAACCCATATGTGGTTTCCAGTTTCTGGAAACGAGAACCCGTACCGAGTTTCCAAGAACTGTGAACCACATTTGGATTCTCGTTCCCAAGAACCTGGAAAAACATAGTGACTTGCTATAAAATGCAAGAAGAGATATATCTGAATACACTAGTGTGTTGAGATACTTGAAAAACGAACTATCAGATATGTTTGTGTTCCTTGAAAATGGAACCCATCGGAACGAGAACTCTGACACCCCTAGTCGCAAGAATTCAAATCATGAGCAAGGGTATGGGTGTGGGTGGGTGGGTAGGTATGGATGGGTGTTGGTAAAGGGAAGATTAACGTCCACATCCACATCCACACCCACACCCACCCACATTCACACCCATCCACACCCACACCCTACTACTATCGAAATTTTAAAACAAGGCACATGGAAAAAAGCTTATAACTTTCGAACGAAAAGTCATAGCGACCTGCGGTTTTCGGCAATCGATAGAAGATTATAGGGGGCACATTTTTATATAAGGGTGTGGGTGGGTGGGTGTGAGTCTTCTCTTAACCCACACCCACACCCTCAATTGATTTTTTTTGGTCAAATTTCTCAATTAATTGTCATTAGACATTATTTTGTATCAGATGCTGAAATTACTTTCAACTAAACCTAATTAATTTCTCGGAAGATGGGAGTACATTTGCTTTTGATTTTCATTAGAGAATGATACTACTTAAAATCAGAATTTTCTAAGTCGTTTTTTAATTCTCACATGAACATATCTAACGTTTGTCATTCTTCGACTATTCGATCGAATATCATTGGATTTGACATTGATAGTATCTTGTGACACACGCATCTAAATTCTACGTATTCTACATTTTTTTTCACCTCATAATTAACTCTTAGTCAATGTTCTGAAGTATTATTTTTAAAAGATTGAGTTCATAACACATTGATTTGATCTAATTTCTCGTTTTGATGTCTCTACTAACGATATTATTGTCGTTCTAGTAGTTAAGAAATATCCACTGATCGAACAGAACAGAAACACAGAAAAAACAAAATATTCGACAAACTAGGGTATGGATGAAGTGTGGGTGTGGGTATGGTTGTGGCGTGCGAATGTGAGTGTGGATCTTCTCTTTATCCCCATTACACCCACCTACACCCGCACCCACACCCTTGATAAAAAGAAGAATATGAGTACAAAGTAATAATTGAAGTTCAGTGGATCTAAGGATAGTTTGCTACTTGAACATCCATTTCAATATAACTACGAAGACTTTATCTTGAGATAGACATTATAATGAAATATTTTTCATCGATTATTACTTTGATCTGTTTGTTACAGATTTTTTAATTGATTGTTTTTTCTCTCTTATCAATATTGAATGGAAGATCGACAGATGCTTGGCATTTTTTACTAACGATAAGATTTTTCTTTAAAATGGCTTATGAAATATAAATACTTCTGCTCTTCTCTTATGTCGATTCGTTCTTATCGTTTCTGCACTTAATAAAAGCATCGTCAGCACACGCAAGTGAAATATTTATAGGATTACTCTTTAGAAACAGCAATAGATGAAAAGATTTGATTACTGATTCTTGCACTAGAAAAAAAGAGAATATAAAAGAGAATGAAAAATATTTTTTAATTTACTTGTAATTCCCGACAACAAAAGAGCCTTCTAAGTAGAACATGCGTGGCGTAGAAATTCTTTTTGTTCTGATATCTCTCTTGAAACTAATCGATGGAACTTTTGTATGTCCCAGTGATGGTATGTTCGAAAACCCTAATGATCGTCACACATTTTGGCACTGTGCTCATAACCATGCTTATCTACACCAATGCCCAGCTAATTTAATTTGGTCACAAGTAAACCAACATTGCACTTGGAATGGTGTGTGTTTTTTTTTCTGAAAATGATGAAAAATACGAATGGACAGATCGATTAGTAAGGATAGGTTCATTCTTTTTTTTCTTATTTCAGCGGTGGTGCCAACATCGACAGTAACAACAACAACAACAACAACAACAACAACATTGCTCTCAACGACAACAATCGCTTTATGTAAGTTTTGAACACTGTGGTTTTGCTAGAGAAGTTCGAATGTGAGAAGAGTTAGGAGACTATCTTGCTGAAGATAAAACAGACACAGTTTCTTTCTTCATCCGAATGTCGTGGAAACAATTTCGTCATGTCTATCGTTCACCATCCATTACGAATCATTCGGTGATAATCAAGTCACTTTGCTACATTCTAGCGACTACACTGACACAAAGCTTGCTTCCATTTGAATGTTCGAACTACGCTTCAATCACCGACGGTACTCGTCACGTTAGCAACACTAATCTAGTGGACGAAAAAGATGGAACATTTTTCAGCTCAACGCCTACATGGGTTCGTTTTGAAGGTGCAGCTGGCACTCGTCTCGCCAATTCTTCTGTCTCTTTGAATCATTGCGGTTCAGAAACCACTGGATGGGCAAAACATACTATCGAACCAGCCGTTGGAAAGACAGCAGATCAAACTGTCTGTTTCAATTGGAATAGGTTTTCATGTATTTGGCCTACGAAGGTGCCCATGACCAATTGTAATGGTTTCTTTGTCTATGCTCTTTCTGTGCCAGCTATTCCCGAAGCTCGCTACTGCACTATGTAGACACTTTTAGCTGAAATAAACAAATCGTCCCTAACACCGCAATAGGTTCGAAAGAAAAATGATTTTTAGCCTTACCTGTTTTAGACTGAGTCCAATGAATCGATATCACAGTGAATTAATCAATTGTTGATTAAAATGAATTATCAAACATTGAAAGTAACATGTCGAAAAGAGAAAATCACACCTGGAGAACTTTTCGAAAACTATGAATGAATGAGTCTGATCGATAGAGGTATGTGCACCAAAGTAAGACCGAATAAGAAATCTATGGAGAAGTTCGATATTCGATATTTAACAACCAAACTGCAACTTCTACGATACGTGATAAATAATTCTTTGAAATGCAACTAATGACGCAAAACCAAATTAACCTTATTCCTGAATCGTTCGATAGAATTTCGAAACATTCATCATGCAGCGCACTATCATTCTTTTAGCTTCGCTCATCAAAGAACTTCCAATTGACTATTTAAATCAATATCGAATCTCGTTGATATGAATAGAGATATCAGTCGAAAAGACCAGTGAATTATGAAATGTAGAATTGCTAGAACATAAAACATGTTTCGTGAATCTTGCTCCAGATTTAATCGAGTCCTATTTCCTGGAAAAATTCAGTCTAGAACTCGATGAATCTTCGACAAACCGATTTTAGTGAACAATCAGGCGGAAATGATTGAATGTTTTCGCTTCCAAAATCAATATGTTTGAATAGATATATATGTGGGTAAAGTTGTACCGATTTATATACATCATATCAAGTGTGTTAACCAATATCTTGTCGAAAACCATATGCGTGAATAAACAACGTTGTATGAATAATTGTCAGCTAATAGTCGACAAAAAACTGCTATGTTATAACCAAAATTTGTCTAATCAAGTGATCTGATACACAAAAGGACAGATTAAATCAGTATGATTTTTCGAACGTTAGCACACAAATTAAATTTCTTAAGCCTAGAAAATACTTGTCATTTTAGAGCACAGTGAGGAGACCTTCTTGCATTTCACGTTCTCTGTGGAATATTTTGTACATCATCATCTATGATAAGTACAAAGTTCGATTAATCATAGCTTATAAAATATATCACGCATGTTTCACCTAAGCTAGAGTTTAGTGAGTATCATGTTATCAGCCCAATTGTAAAATGATATCTATCATGATGAATGATGCTGACAACAGTCACTTATAAGTGAAGATTCTTTTCTTTCTCATTCTTGACTTGAAAGAAAGGGTGTGGGTGGGTGTGAGTGTGGGGTGTGGGTATGGGTTTACACCTTCTCATCACACCCACACTCATATCCCACCAATGACTCTTCCTACTTTAGAAGAAATTATTGATGATAATTATCCTATTATCTCAAGATCAGTTGCTTTTTGAACATAATCTTCCTATAATGTCTCAACTTGAGTAAGAACAACTTGAAGCTGGATGTAGAGTTTTATTAAATCATTAAGTAAATAATTGATCTTTTCATTTAGATAAAAGAAGAACTAATCTAACCTTTTAGATACATGCTCTTATTGGTGTATTAAGTGATGATGTTGATCCAATAGTTGCTCTTATGAACACTTGAAAAAGCACCAAAATAAATATAAAACAAACATTTAAAGCTTTCTTTTTTTTTTGGTATCAGTTTCTATGTGCAGATATCGGTGGATTAACAACACAACATTCGAAGAAATAAAAGTAATCATGAGAAATCTCTAGACGAATATCGAACTGTTCTCTAATTTTGTTTTTTTTTCAAAGGAATCTGTTGAATTACCATTAACTCATCGTCAATATAACGAATAAATGGGTATGTAAACCAGCAAAAGGTCTTATTCTTTATGGTAAACCTCGAACGGATATCGGATAACTAGACATATACCTAACAGTTCGAGCTTTTCTCTTATTCGGATTGTTTTATCGTATTGACTAATCGTCTCTCTCTTCAAAGCTTTATTATAATGAACATATGAAAAACGTCAGCTATAACTCATAATTACTTATTTGAAATTATTTGATGATATAGGAAGACTCTAGTACCTATCGATATTTTAGCATATGCGGTCAATATTCTATGTCAATAAATGATAATCAACCATTGAAAAGATATGATGAAAACGTGAAAAGAGTTTGAATTTAATCGATATCTAATTGGAATTGAATCGTTTTGTTTTATGATAAAAAATAAAATATCTTATAAAGGTGAAACTCTTCGTTGCCAAATCTGTAGACAATAAAACATCGGCAACATTTAAACGTCTAGTTGATTGAGAATTGAAAAATATTTTCTAATTTAGATTTATTTCTCGAAGATAAAATGATTGATTTTCGATAAATATTCGGGTGATAGTCCTCCAAAACTTGTACGTGAATTATATTGTGTTGCTGAATAATATGTTCCAGCTATTGTTATTATTGATGGAATTGGTGCTATTGGAAGAAAACGGTATATTTTGTTTCTATTTATTTATCTAATAGAAAATACATTTTAAATTTAATCGTTTTTATTTAGTTACGAATTAAATGTCGGGTGGTGAAAGAGAAATTCAAAGAACAATGTTACAATTATTAAATTAACTCCATGGATTTGATTCTCATCGAGATATTAAAGTAAAAATTTAGTTGTTCTTTTGGTTTTTTTTTGATAAACAAAAAATAATTTCGTTAGGTTATTATTGGAATAAATCGAATTGATAGTCTTTATCCATGACTAATTCGATCTGGTCATATCGAACATAATAATTGAATTTCCACTATTGGCTGAAAAATACGTCGAATGATATTTTAAATTGATAGAGGTCGTATGAGACTTACTGATGATCTTGATTTAGAATAAGTAATTATGGCTAAACAATGATCGTTAGTGGTGACGATATTAAACGTTAGTTTAAAATGATTATTTGTGTTTTAAGAAGAATATTTATACGGAATCTAGTTTAATAGCATAAGGGGAACATCCTATGAAAGTTACAAATGAAGATTTTCGAAAAAGTAAAGAAAGAGTATTTTATCGAGAAAAATCAAGATATATCTGAACGATTCGATTTATAAATCAACAATATTTAACAATAGGAAAAACTCTGCTCTTGTTTTTTTTCTTTGTTTTTTGATTAAAATGTTTTCTTTTTCTATAATGCCATATTAGTTTTTATTCTCGAAACAAGAAAACAAACTTTAAAATATATTCCAACACAACGTATAGAACGTATTCGTTTAGTATAATTTACATTCGATTAATCGATCAAATTGATTAATGTTAACGTTTTTTTTTAATAGAGTGAAATGTTATCTAATGATGTTATGAATATATAAATGATTATATTAAAAAATAGTTTATTAATTTAACTTGATGAAGAGAATATTCTGATTAATATAATAATGAAGTGTTTTCGATCATCAGATATATTTTCAATATTATTATTCTAATAGAATATTTCTCAACTAGTTTTTCAACTAGAAATAAAATCTTTGATATATTGTATAATATAGTTGGTTGTTTTTTATTGCTTTGATAAAGACTAGTATTCAATGGTATAACGCTAATTTAATATTCGTTTGGATATGAATAATCAATTTGGTGTATATCGATTCGAAGGTGATATCATCTTCAATATAAGATTAGACAACTTGCCCTTTAACCTACCACCCCTAGAATGATCACTTCGATCGTCGGAACACGGCCAATGACTCCATTAATTTTTACCATAATCTGCTATATTGCTTTACAATCGATTTTTTTAGAGCCTGATAGTTCAATAGATTTCTGATCAGGTTTAACTGTTTAAATAAATAGATAAAATAATAATTTAAGATGAGTATAGGGATTTACTTATTAGAAATTGAGTATTGTCGTATGTAATCAATGACGAGAGAGAAGAAATAAGTCTTTCGTTTTACTAACGATTGTCGGTAGTAGTATTGCTTTCATTTCGAATATTAGTCTTTAATTGTTTATATCAATCGATCGAGTCACCCATAATAAAGAGTTAAATTTAACAGCTAATTGTCACTGTTATTTATTCCTAGACACATTTTGATATTGTTTTATGGCGTAGATCAATTTTGAAAGACATAGAAAAGAAACCTCTAAATAATAACACTAATTTCTACTATACCATTTTTCTATAAACTACTTTATAAATTGTTGACTGTCTTCATCATCTACCTTTTTTTTTTTATTGATAATCATTCTAGAATATCCAATAAATAGTTTTAACAGTTATCAATTTCTATGCAATTATTCAAACATTAACACTTTTTGCGCTACAAAAAAAAGGAACCAACCCCCTCCGCCCCTCGCCCCTCCTACAATAAAAGACCCAGGGTCTTCTATTATGTTTAAGCGGAAAATTTTTTTTGGGAGGTTTTGTATTATGATTGTCGTATTTTTGCGAAACTCACGAATATTTTCAAAGAATTCAGTAAATGCAAGTTTAAGTTCAGACTCTATGACTTCTCAGCTTCTATAATAGTGACCAGATGCTGGGAAAAACATCACTATATCTTTCCACAGAAATAAACAATGGGGAGTAATTAATATCAGCGGCTATATTATTTGAAAATTCTGTAATTTCTAGTTTCTGTTCGAAATGTAATGTTTTTAAGGTTTGTATAGCTCAGATGTATATCCGAATAAACTAATAGCAACCGTAAGTTTGAGTCAAGATTTTTCAGCTTGTTCCCGTGTTTCCCGATTAGATGTCGTAACAATCAGTCATATTTAAAAGGTTGTGGAAACTTCTAGAATATTTTGATTATCAATAGTTCGAATATTGTTATGAGCATTAGAAAAAAGCTAGCCTCCTCTTTTTGCGCAGATAAAACTTTGTACGATCCATGAGAAAGATAATCTTTTATCATTTTTCATAACTCTAGTATAAGTTACATAAAAGCGTGATCAAACTACTTTCTAACTTTTAGAAATATTTATTTTGTGTCTTGCTCTGTACATTAATATGCATACAAGTTTGTTAGGATCTGGCGAAGATACAACTAATATCTATACTAAGCTTATTTAACTATTAAATTAAAGCTCGAATGGAATAATACGAAATAATTATAATCTCGATTAACAGAAGAATAACACAGCGAAGAGCGACAAGAAAAAAAGCACGTATTAGAAAAAAAAATGTTTGAAATGTACGAATAGAAACTGCTATAAATTAATCACTATGATCAATGTTTCTTTAGAAATTTAACATTCTGCGTTGGTATTATTAATATTATAAATATATTCGAGAAATCTGATAAGTGGAGAAATGGAAAGATAAGAATTCGAAAACGAAATTGTTTCATTGGGATAACGTTTTACAATGTATGCTTTAACTCAAACGATAGAATTAGTTCTAATCTATCGGTTTATTTGATATCTTTTGAAAATAAACTTTTCCATCCATTTTTGAGAATATAATATAAATTTGTAGCAGTCTAAGTCTCATGAGTACTACACTTTGGCTCCACAGCGGCTACGCTGATAAGTTTTTGTAAATAAAAGGGCTCTTTGAGAGAACCGAAGCGATTTTGAAAATTGGAGGAAGTATTTTCACGATTTTCGAAGCTTATAGATAGAGTTGAACTCATGGATTTGAAAATTTTCAATTGAAAACCCCAGAAACAGACACGTTTCGAGGTAAAAAAACTAACGAAAATTTTCAGTTCTTAAAAAAAAAACCTTAAAAAATGGGAGGTCTTCTATGACGTGGGACAAAATTTTTTCTCAAAGGGATCTTCTATTATGGAGGGTCTTGTAATATGGGGGAGGGGGGGTGGTGGTTTACCACATTCACACCAATATTACTTTACGCAACCTGAAAATATCTAATATATGTTACAGAGCATTATATGTTTTAGTTATTATACTGAAAAATAATCATTTATACAGTATTGTTCCTGTTATGGCCATTTTCACAACATTTTTGGCATAATAAGCTTCTCAACTTTCGTTGAGTATTAACAGGTTCTGTTATCATAGTGTGAATTGAGAGCTAGTCAATGAGAATATTCAGAATACGTAAAAAGATACGTCGGGAAACCTATTTTTTCCGAAAAAAATCTTGAAACAGTCATAAGAAAATAGTTTGATATGAGGTGATAAAATCATAATCTAACATACAAAAAAAAACAATGAAACAAGAATATTCTAAAAGTTGATACCATTTTTCGACGAAAATCAATAAAATAGTATCGTCGAATTTTCTTCATTGTACTCAATCGAGAAATATGAGAAAGAACATTTTATAAAGGCCTTGACGACATCTATTCAATGATGCTAAAATAAAATATCACCAATAAATATTGCAGAATTTATCGGTATCTTATTTTTTATTGTTTGACTAGATCTTTCATTAAATTACATTTGCTAATTAAAATAAAATCACAAAAATAAATTGAACATTCGATCTCTCGTTTACTTATTCACACAAAAACAAAGGAATTAAATATATCTTAAACAACTAAATATTCACCATGATTAATAGATTTAATAAAATAATCATTGAGTAAATTTTTTCATTTAATTAAACCATCGAATTTTTTTAAATATATTTTTGATATGTCTGAAATGTCTTCCAATGGAAAATGGCAAGCTTCAAATAACTAATTTCATAACGTATTTTAAAGGAATCATAAGATTAAGATTTGTTGTAATAGAATCATCTGATGTTTCAAAAAAAGTAATTAATAGTCAATTAATTCTGAGATTGAGATTAAACAAACAAGGTGAATGTTTCCACGAGAATGATGCATTTTCCATTATAATTGCAAAATTTCCAGATCTGAATTGTATTTTTTTACATTTATTGAACGTA